CCCCAAAACCCCAAAACCCCAAAACCCCAAAACCCCTAGCAACATTCATAAATTGAATATTATCACAAAATTTAATTTAGTTGACGAGTAATTTTGATGAGAAGAACAAAACAAGTATATTACCGAGAGTCGTCAGACGAAGATGAACGTGAAGTTGCCAATTTGACTGATTCAAATGAAGAGGACAAAAATGTTTCGGAAGATGAAGGCGATTACATCCCGCGACAAATTATTGAAGAAGACCTCCTAAATCCTGATATTTCCCAGATCTTAACATGGAGAACAGAGAAAGCAGCAACAAACGCTTCCGATACTTGTACTTTCCAGGTTTCTAACACATCCCATATAGATAATATCGAAGAGTGTGAGTTTTTAGTGAAATTCAAGAATTATTCCTACCATAACTTGGAATGGATGACATATGGACAGCTGGACAGCTACAACAAGAGAGCATCAATGAAACTTAAAAGATTTGTTCAAACACATCAGAGAAAATAATGTTTTACCATACCTGAAAAATGATTTCGAGATCCCTATAGACAACAACTGATTGATCCCAGAGAGAATTTTATTCACAACAGATATGTCATCGGTTATTCTCCCAGAGAACGTAAGTGTCGAGTTTGAGATTTTAAATTTTTGCCTCCCTGATCCATCTGTGACCTTGGTGACGGGATTATCAACCTAAGCAAATACGATTGCAAAAATTTTCCTAAGGACAAAATAATGTCAAAGAAAGTCTTAGGGGGGATTTAGGAATTATTAGATGCCTTTTAGCAATAATTTGCTCTTCGTGCTTATAACCCCCCTCCATGACAATTTTTGGAAAGCTTGCTTTCCTATTTCCTTAGTATCATATCATAAAGGTCATTGTTGTGTACCGGCCAGATCGGAATCAAAGTAGCTTTATTTGGGGATACATCTGAAGAGACCCTAAACTCGCCTAACCAAGTTTGCTAAATATTGGATACTCCTCTTGCTTTATTTTATTTAGAAGTCTTATAAGTTTATTAAATTTAAATTCTTTACCCAGAATTTCAGGAGAATTTTTCTATTCGTGCTGGCCAAATAGACTTGCCAAGACTAATTAATTCCACCCACAATTGCCAAACAGCCACTACTCTTCGCTTTTTGAATTTTTCTGCAGCGTGTTCCTAAAAGTTGGCCTTTTGAAAAAGACCAGACTTTATTAGAGGCGACTGCTCCCAGAGAGGCCGAGAGGGCTTGCCACCTCATGAAGAATTAGTTTTGGAAGTATTTGAAAATGCTCGGCTAGAATGGCAGCAAATATGGCGGCTCCTTCGGTGGTTTACAGGCTTCACTCTTTAAGTCTCAAAGTTCGAGAATCTTCCATTTTGCTCAACTTTGTTAAAATCGTCCTAACTTTCGGAACAGGTGGCCAAGTTCAAAGGCAGATGGGAACAGAGGTGTGGAGAAATTTGCAGAATTTTACTGAACTACGTAGACGGCATCAACGGGTAAGACTCTTTGGCCTGGCTTCTCCACTCTTAGCATTGTTCACGCATTAAATCTTTGTAATTGGGTGATTTAATTGGAGCTGACAACAGTGGCTTAATTTTAGAACTTCTGTTAATTCCATGTAGCATCAGAGGCAAAGTGAAATATGGGGTCTACTTCATGGCCAACATTGAAACTCCCGAAGACGAAGCGTAGGTCTGCCCGTGCCAACTATAGGCTGAGAGAAAAACAGGAACTCAGACATCAGGAAGAAGAAAAAGCAAATGGAGGTGAGGGAGAAGGAAATGGAGAGAAATATGAAGAAATTACGCTTACCTTGGTTCTCAACAAAGTTTGTGGAGGAAAGTATAACCACCCGAGTGAATTCTGGGCTCAGCTAGGCCAAATGTTCAAATAACTGTATCACCTCGTATCCGGATGCGACTTCAAGCTACAGAAAGATAGGAGATAAGTTAAGAGTGCTTACTTACCACCTGTACAAAGACTGGTATTCCTTGTTCCAAGATAAAGCCAAGGACACCCAAAGGCGGATAGTCGAAGCTGAGATGCTTAAGTTCTTGGAACTGAGGGACGAGATGAGGAAGAAAAGGAGGGAAGAATGGAAAGCAGAATCGGTGAAGGAAAGAGAACAGATGAAGGAGAAGGAAGGCAAGGATGAAGCCGGTATAGGGGGTAAAGAAGATGGAAAGGAAAACGGAAAAGAGCCTGATGAGGAGAAGAAAAATGCTCAAAAAGAAGGAGGGTAAGTTAAGATATTTTACCTCAAATTTAGGCAATCTCAAAATCCCGCGCAGCCAAAGGATGGATCTAATAATGATGCTTCAATAACTCCATCCAACCCAGCACCTGTGCCAAGCACCCATGATAATGCTTCGATGGCTAACCAAGCTAGGGACGGAACATTCTCAACAGAGAATCAGCAAATTAATCAGAATACGGGAGGAAATCAGGGTCCGGGAGGCATGAATCCAATGAATCAGATGAACCAAATGAACCAGAATGATTCCCAAAATAACCAAATGATGAACCAACATCAAAACATGCAAGGAGGTCCTCAGGGAGGACCTATGCAAGGGCAGAATCATGGAAACAATAGACTTCCTTCATTATCTTCATTACCAATCAACAATTCAATGGGTAACCAGCCAAACATGTTTGGTCCTAATGGAATCCGGATCCCTTCCATGTTCGGAAATCAAATGCAAATGCCCATGGGATTCCCAGCTAACAATCCATTCCAAGGTGGAAGAATGGTTCCTCCCAACTTCAACCCCGGCATGATGATGAACAACGGCAATATGGGCATGGTCAATCCAGCTATGCACGCCCAGATGTTGCAGCAGAACATGATCAAGCAAATGCAGATGAAAGGAATGGTTCCTCCATTCAACGCAAACATGCCAGGATTTCACCCTGGAATGATGAACATGGCAATGGGAGGTCAGATGCAAAACCCAATGATGGCGAGGATGGGACTCAACCCTCAAATGGGAATGTTCCCTCCAGGTCATCCTCTAGCCATGAGACAAAACATGATGAACCAGAACTTCAACAGAAACATGAACAATAATGAAATGCAGAACGAGAGTTATGTTCCAGGAGGAATAGAAGAAAATGCCATAAACGCAATCACCAGCATTGACTTCAAGTAAGCAACTGACTAACTTCTAGAGCGCATGATGTCAATGATCTTCTTCAGGTAGACCTCGACATTGAGAATAGGTCTGCAGACGTCGACCCAGGTAGGTTTGTCAGCTCATTGTGTAGGTCAGTTCAACCTAGATTGGCTGCTGATGGAAGGTGAAACTCAGAAAGACTTTGAAGAGTCTGAGTTGTTCACTCAAGAAGAGTTGGCCATTATCCTGTCAAGAGCTATTCAGTTCGAACAGTTGTACTTGGTGAAGTGGACCAACCTTTCATATACCGAAGCAACTTGGGAACCTTACTCTCTGATCCAGCAATACGATGAGTTGATTGAAGCATTCGAAATGAGGAATCGAAGAATTGAAGCTGAGAAACGAGACAAACTTACGAAGAACACTGGGATCACCAAGAAACTGATTGAGTACCTCGGAATTTCAGAGAAAAGGCGAAAGAATCAAGGCGAAGACGACATTGACAATCATCTAAAGCTATTCAAGTATCGGAAGACTTTATTCCATGACAAACCTGATTATAAGGTCTACGAGAAAGAACACGGCAAATACCCAATTTTCAAGAAGGGGCAAAAGCTTAAAGACTACCAGATTAGCGGATGCAACTGGCTGATAAAATCCTGGTTCGATGATAGAAATGTCATCCTTGCAGACGAGATGGGACTAGGAAAGACTGTCCAAACTATTTCGTACCTCAACTACCTGTTCACGGAAGCAAATGTGGAAGGCCCTTTCTGAGTGATTGCTCCACTGACGACACTGTCTCATTGGAAGAAAGTTTGCGATGAATGGACAGACATGAATGCTTTACTTTACTATGACCAGTCAGGCGCAGAAGGAAGAGCCGCTCTCAGGTTGTACGAGTGGTACTACACTGATATTGACAGCGAATGCAGACAAACTCAAAGGTACAAAGTCTTGAAGTTCAACATCATCCTGACTTCTTTTGAAGTCTTCTGTAGTGATCTTTACAATGTGTTCCTGGATGTTCCATTCAGATGCATTGTTATTGACGAAGCTCACAGGCTCAAAAATAGAGCTGGAAAAACACTGACTTTGCTGAAAGAGCATCCATGTGTTAGAGTTTTCTTGCTGACTGGAACTCCTGTTCAGAATAACACAAAGGAACTATTTACTCTTCTTAATTACATCGAGCCTTTGAGGTTCAGAGAAATGGACAGGCTTTTGGAAAACTTCGGAGATTTGAAGAATGCGAGCCAAGTTCAGGCTCTACAGACTCTGCTCAGGCCATTCTTTTTGCGAAGACTCAAGGAAGAAGTAGAGGACTCCATCCCTCCTCTCGAAGAAACTGTTGTAGAAGTTGGACTTACAAAGCTTCAGACTGTTTACTACAAAGGAATTTATGGTGAAAACAAATACATGCTGTCTAAACTAGGAACAAACTCTGCTAAAGCTATTCATCTGAACAACATGGATATTCAGCTCAGGAAATGATGCAATCATCTTTATTTGCTAAAGGGAGTTGAGGAAGAACTCGAAGGGAAGTGCCAAACTGACCAGGAGTACTACCAAAGCTTGCTCGACTCATCAGGTAAACTAATCTTACTGGATAAGTTCATTAAAAAGTACAGAGAAGAAGGACATAAGATGCTAGTCTTTTCACAGTTCAAGAAAATGCTTGAGATCATCGAAATTTACCTCAGAAGCATCGGAGTTCCGTTTGAAGTGCTCACAGGGAGTGTCAAAAGCCAAGACCGAGTTCTGTCGATTCAGAGGTTCAATGACGACCCCAGCTTCGGTGTGTTCTTGCTCACAACCAGAGCAGGAGGACTCGGAATCAATCTGACCTCAGCCAGAGTTGTTGTTATTTTTGATAGTGACTGGAATCCTCAGAATGATCTGCAAGCTATTGCAAGGGCTCACAGAATTGGACAGATCCACGAAGTCAAAGTGTATCGGTTCATCACCAACAAGACTTATGAAGAGCAAATGTTCAACCGCGCCTCCAAGAAGTTGGGAATGGAGCAGGCTTTATTCAGTAAGTTCCGTTCTTTACATTTTAGAAGGGTCAAAGGACATGGACCCGACAAAGCAAGGCCAAGTTGGTGATGGAAAGCCAGACCAGAAAGAAATAGAAAACCTGCTCAGATACGGAGCCTACGCTTTCCTGGATGAGGATGGAGAAGACATCGCAGACATGAATATCGAAGATATCTTTGAGAAATAAGACTAAATCCAAAAAGAAGAAAGGAGGCAAAAGCTTAAACAAGTCTACCTTCAATGTTGAAGTGTACGAAAAGAAGCTTGACAAACTTAACGATGATGACTTCTGGAAAGAAATTCTCCCCAACTTGGAAGTCCTGAGTGTGCAAGCTCTGGAGAAGAAACTAAAATTCGAAAGAGCTGACATTATCAAAAGTGAAGACGCTCAGAAAGAGTTCCTAGAAAGCTTAAGAAAATTAGTCGCTCAACTGCTAGAAACTAAAAAGGGTGCTGCAGATGTATTCTCTACTGAAGATGACGAGACGAGGCTGAGAGACCTGATGATGAAGTTCTGCAAAGTCCACAAAATGAAAGCAGGAGTGCGCGAGGAAGCAAAACAGCTTCTCAGAGACTTGAATCAGTCAATTGAGCTTCTGAGCTATGAGGCTAAGTTTAAAGAAGAAAAAGATGAAGCTAAAAAGGAAGAAGAAAGCGCTGCTGAAGCCAAGGCAGAGGAACCAGTTGCGCAGACAGAAGAGAAGAGAGGCAAGGCCAGAGTCAGAAGGAAGAGAAAAGCCAACAATAATGTTGTGTATGACCAAGGTAAATTTTATTCTCAGCTTTAGACAACATTGGTGATGAATTTGAAGAAAAAGAAAAACAGAAATGAAAGAGGCAAAAGAAGAATAGTGACGACGGTGATGAGTATGTGCTGGAAGACTCTGAAAACCCATATCCTTCAAAGGATGGCAAAATGCCTGAGGGAGAAGAAGCTTTGGGAGCTGAGTACGGAGCAAGAGGCTACCAAGTTCATTACAATCAAGCAGATCCAAAGTTAAACCCTCACAGAGATGGGTCTCATGGCTATGAAATGGGTCACGGAAGTGAGCAACAATATCCATCTCATGACCATGACGGAGCTTCAAGTAAAGACTCACAGAAGAGGAGAGATATGAAGAGACAGCACAAGCATCCTCACCCGGGAATGAGCAAACACAAACAGCAGCTTCCTTTGAACCTGAACTACACTGAGTTCTTCCCAATCTTCTGTAGCTTGTGTCTTCAGAAGGTTGAAGACAACTACTCCTGCTGGAAATGCCAGGGTCATTGAGGAAAAGTCTACCATGAGGAATGAAAGAAGAGACAGGATGTCAACCTCCACGGAGAAGTCAACGAAAGAGCAAGAATTAACGAATGGCTATGCTGGCTTTGTACTGAAGGCAAAGCTGAATGATTTATCTGAGGATCCATTGATTTTGTCAAATGGAATGCAAGAAAGAAGGTGCCTAGCTATATTAGAAATAACCCAGCGTTGAGTGCTTACCATAGATATGGATCGCAAGGGAACAAAGAAGGCGAAGGTGGACAGCAATTAAAGCCTGATGGTACAGATGCTCAGTTAGTTGATAATCCAGTGAAAGAACCACATATTATTCAGAATGAAGATGGACCTGAGAAAGAGACAGAGATAAAGTTTAGATTTGATGAAACTCCTTCACCAGAAACAGACCCGGTAAGAGCACTCTACTAATCATATAGGTGATAAAGTGATACACAGGATCTTGTCCTCGTCACTACCATCTTGCTTGACTCAAAAAGAACCATCACCGATGTTTGTTTAACCTGCATAACCAAGATGAATTCAAATGCTCTCTACACTTTTGTAAGCACTGTGGTCAAACCAGTGAACAATCTCTCTTGATGCAATGTCTAAAATGTCCTATATCATATCATATGAAGTGATCAAAACAAGAAAGATATTTGAAGAGGCTTTCTAGGAGACACATTATCTGATCAACTCATTATAGACCTCCTAGAGAAGATGCTATTTCTAAAGAAGGACCCACACAAATGAAGCCAGAGTGCCTAGCTGAAGAGATTCCCGCTCAACATCCCCCTAATGTTGAAGAGGTTCCAGAAGAACAGGAAGGAGAAGAAGGCAATAAAGAGATATTCAAGATAGAGAAGCGTAATGTTGCAGATGATAGCAAAATCTCAGTAAATGTTAGATCGAATGAAGGTGAATAAAAGAATTCAATTTGAAAACACTATTAGGGGTTTTGGGGTTTTGGGGTTTTGGGGTTTTGGGGTTTTGGGGTTTTGGGG